ACAAACTTCCTGTCTTTGAGAAATGAGACAGAGAATAACTTTTAAAGACGTAATGCTGTCTAATTAGTTTGTCACACTTAAATTTAGGAGTGGCTTGTATACCGTGGCACTATTATTTATCATGGCAGTATAACAACAGAGTTCTATAAATACTTTCTTATATTATGACGTTTTAATTAATAAAATTTAGCAGATCAACATCTTTGAAATGTCTGTTCTGGCTGCTGTGGGAGCTTTTTAATCTTAAATCGTTAAACTGTTTGGACTGTTCATTGAGAAACAGTAGGAACTTTGCTACCTACAGTGCTTTCAGTAACATCATCTACAGGTGACTGACTGACTGACTGACTGCTTGTGACAGTTACAGAGGGATTGAACTAGAAAAGCCTCTTAGAATCTCTCTCTCTCTATCTATCTATCTATCTATCTATCTATCTATCTATCTATCTATCTATCTATCTATCTATCTATCTATCTATCTATCTATCTATCTATCTATCTATCTATCTATCTACTGCAAGTCTCTCATTATCTCGCAGTTGCTCCCATTCTCCCACCAGATAAAGGAAAAAACAAACCCTCCAATGTATAATGAATGCAACAGAAATGTTGAAAAGCTAAGAAGCAAAACTTATTTTGCACAGAGATTTTTATTAAGCCTCATATTCATGACTTGTTCTTAAATTAGTATGGTTTAACAAAATGTCAATAAATGATATATGGACCAAAACATATGCATATAAGATATTTCTATATTAACTATCCAAAGCCTGAACCATGAAATAACTCCCAGAGAATACTGGTTTTTAAAAAAACGGGACTGTTTATTGACAAATTATAAAACAATAAGAAGAAATTGGCACATTTGATTTTAAATTGTATCATATTTGCTAATTCTGTCATTTTTTTAGCAGTTAGTTTAGAAATTTTGGGTGCAGTCTATTTAGGTCTTTAGGGGGAAAAAAACACACTAATGAGGTTTCAAAAACTCAAAAAAATTCATGTATCAAATATAATACCAGTACATATTTTTCACAAAAGATTCAAGTTTGGTTTTAAAAGGGCAGGAAAGGTCTTTGACGCTTCTGTCCAAAAGATGCAGGAATGCAAAAGCTGCTTTGGAACTAGCCATCTATAGAAAATAAAAGGAGAAACTATTAACTTGTTATACATGTTAAACCATATTTGACCTTTTTAATAAGAGCAAATCATACCAAGCCTCTCCACTAGTTCTGGATGATGTTTTTCAAGGGCATCAAAGAAGGCTGCTTTGACCTTCACCCCTCCTGAACGCAGTGTTCTTTCAAAGAGCTCCCTCATTTTATCTTGACTTGTCGGTGTAGCTCGAATATTTGAATAGGCTTCAGGATGGACCAGGTCTCCAAGCTCTTCTGCTATCGCCAGCACTTCAGAAACTTCTTGGATTAACTGTGCCCTGTTTCTATCAACAAAGTCTGCTGCTTGTAAATGAAGAAAATGAAAGCGTGTATTTAAAAATCATAGAATAAAAATTGTGAACGTGACTGTGAAATAATAAATAATACACACCTTTTTCATGTTCATTCATTTTTGTAGCAAAACTGCTGATATAATTCTGTTGGCAAAGGGAAATAAAACATACTTTTAGTTGTCAAAGGAGCTTGCAAAGAAAAGCGTCTGGACTTCTTTAAGTTGCTTGAAGACGTTTCACCTCTCATCCGAGAAGCTTCTTCAGTTCTAAGGTCAAATGGTGGAGAGTCCCAGATATAAACCTAGTGGGAGTGACCCCCCACAGAGGGACAAAAGGACCCCCTGATGATCCTCTAATCGCCTGAGCCAAGGTGTGAAACTGGGTGTGGGTCCCAATCAGCCAGAGTTTCGGGTGAGTTCATTGTGAAAACCTGCGAATAGCGGCCCCGCGGCCCCGCGGCCCCACCTTATTCGCATAAGTTGCCCCCCCACCACCACCTTATGCAAATAAGGTGGGGCCACAGCATAAGGTGTGGCCACCTCAGGTTTCACAATGAACTCACCGGAAACTCTGGCTGATTGGGACCCACACCCAGTTTCACACCTTGGCTCAGGCGATTAGAGGATCATCAGGGGGTCCTTTTGTCCCTCTGTGGGGGGTCACTCCCACTAGGTTTATATCTGGGACTCTCCACCATTTGACCTTAGAACTGAAGAAGCTTCTCGGATGAGAGGTGAAACGTCTTCAAGCAACTTAAATAAGTCCAGACGCTTTTCTTTGCAAACTCCTTTGACTAGATGACCTGGATGACTGAGAACCTTCACAGACATACTTTTAGTTTATACTCAATAACTACAGCAGTACCATGATACGTTTTTAAAACAGAATAGAAAGACATGCACAAATATTTGGCTGTTTAGAAATATTAATCCAACAACCATTAAGCAAAGAATACAGAATAAAACACGAGTGACAAACAAATAGTACACTGACTGCTAATGCGTAGTGAACATGTGTAGATGGAGTCAGGCGGTTCTCATATTTCCTCTTTTTTCCGAGGTCGTCATTTAGGAACGTGGTGGGTAGCCGAAAACGTAATATGTTGACGATTTGTCACCTAGCGTAAAATGTTACGCTTTGGGAGTGAGAACGTGTTGGAATCCCAGAACAGAGAGGTATAAAGTGCGCAGGACGTCTGATAAAACTGTTATTATGTATCAAAGGGAACCGTAAGGGCTCAGTTACAAGCACAGATTATCAAAGATGAGCAAACTAACTAGACTATCAGTACACTAACAAACTGATGCAAATCCCTGGGCATTTTCTTCCATGCGTTTTTTTTTTTAGCAGGGAACGAACCAGAGCAAGCTACATCTACTGCTTCCTCTTTCACTGGCAGGCTGCCCAGATAGCAAGGAAACATTGAAACAATGTTGAGTCAATATCAGGCGATGTCATTGAATCAACGTTGAAGTGTGACGTTGACCTAACGTCACTCTTGCACCCTTTTTTAACGTTGCCCTCGTGTTTATCGTGCAGACTCCTCCATGTTCACAACTTTTGCATAGATTATTCATAAGTTATATATTCTTGTCTTGTCTGCATTTTAACATGAACGTCTGTGCAACCGCGGTTCTGTGCAGGGTCCTCCATGTTCACAAACTGTTTGAAATCTTTTCCGATTTCAGAGATCACGGTCTCTAAATATCTTTTAGATTACTCATACTCGCTCTTCTGAGACCACAAATACAAATGCAACCCAAACTTCCTCAAGTTGTAGACAATCATGCGTCATTTTCTTTGTCATGTTCCTACGTGTGGGGGTTTTTAAAGGGAAAATGGCTTATGTTTTAAAAACGAAAAATGTATTAAAATGCTTGCGGCTACTCACCTTTTTGTCAAGATGTTCCACTTCCAGATTTGAAAGTTCAAACCAAAGCTGTGGCAAAGCTATGGACTTTCTAGCTTTCACTTTCCCATCTTTACTTACTGAGCAAGAGGGAGGATGGGGCGGGGCGAGGTTGGCAGCTTGGAAGGAAAATGTGTTTTTGTCTGCAGTAATTAAAGTGATAACTAAACTTCCTGACTGAACCTTAATTTCCAAAAAAGAGAGAAGCCTCTCGATACCACTGTCACTCCTTACAAAAGAAGCATAATGGTATAGTCCGCTCTAACTTTACAGCACCGTTAATTAATTCTGTATAGATGACTTAGTGCCACCATGTGGAAAAAGAAAGGAAATAAAAACAATGGAGAAAAAGGAAACTGTGAACTTATTTCTTTCAAACGAAAATTAAACAGAACAAAGCTTTTGCAGACCGGGATTGTCTGGCACATTACACAGCACTGTGGGATTCTGTTAACAGCTCACCATTTAACCTGGCAAGCTTCCCATTTTGCAATGGTCAGTTTGTGGAAAACACACAAGCCTTTAAATAGAGGAAGTATTTTGTAGGTTTTGTGAGTCAGAGTAAATTTTCATGTTGGTGGTGGTGGGGTGTTTTTGTATTGAAAGCTCACACAATGTTAGTGAGTTAAATAAATAGATGCTTATTAAAAACTGAAGGTAATATAAATGTGTTTGCTTGTTGCAAAATGATTTGTTTCGACATACACCAATAGCTGACTCAAAAATGTATGGCTTCTATGTGTTGTCTGTCAAAAGTGTTCTCACAAAGATTGTACCTCTGGCAATCCCGGCTACACATTTGTCATGACTGAGTTGTGTGATTCTGAGTGAGGCACAGGGTTGCTAGATCTTAAAATGAAAAATTTCCTTACCTGGATGATCAAGCATGCATCAAGACCTTTAAAAAATATAGGCAACTTCTGGCCTTTTGTAATAATATTAATTATGCATCAGTTCAAAGTACAGTCAGAAAGTGTGGAATCTATTGTTTTTGTGGATTTAATGAAAGCTACATTCTTAAAACACAGTAAATTTCTTAATTTCACTGCTCATACATACAATGATTCACAGTAATTATCACTGGTGAAATACACTTGGCATTGTGTGGTGTTCATTTCTAAACTTACTGATGTCTCTACCTGAAAAGAATTATAAATATTATAAATTTAGAAATTACAGATTTTTTTAAAATAGTTTTTTTATTTTATTTTTACTGGAACCCCACTGATAACAACAGGGGCATCCAGAGTGTCATTAATGGCGAGTCAGAAATGTTCATGTAGTTGATGTAAAGACTCCTTCACGCTTGAGCTGCACCCTCACACACTCCTGTGATGGGTATTGTCAATACTCCCCTGGCGGATGGCGTGGTGACCCAAGTTTTCTGAATGCAATAACTCAAAAACGAGGTGGCATAATATTTTGAAATTCAAACTATAGTTGCAGCTACTAAAAATCTTGGAAGAGTTCTAATTTCAGTGACCTCGATGTCAAGGTCAGAGGTCAAGTTTTCTCATTCATACTATAATTTCACCAACCAAAAGTTCAAATCTAAGTAACTTTGAATGTGATGTCAAGGTCAGAGGTCAAATTTTCTATATCTTGTGAATCGGACCTGGAACATGTACATCTACTAGGAGGTTGATGGGTAGCACGAGTTTATTATCATTAACAGAGAGACAGATGATCATTTAAAGTAAAAACAGCAGAACATCTGTGTATAAGAGTACAAAATAAGCAATTCCACTGAGTAGGCAAATACATATCAATTTTAGTTTTTATGTCTAAACATGTTGATAAAATACAGGTCCTTGTAAGAAGGTTTAACAGTAAAATATTAAAAAGCCCAATTAAAATGTTTTTTTAATGCAGACTATTAACATCCAACACAATCCTTTGAAAGCACAAAGAACTAGTGCTTGCAAAGCACAATAGGACAATGATCTGTGCCAAACATTAAGCAAACCCCTTTCTTTAAGTAAACTGAGGAGTATTCACTCATATCCCATGATGGCTTGCTGTTTCAGTTGGGGATAATAGTTATGGCGTCTTCTTGCTTCCAAATAAATACCCGCAATGGGATGTCCAAAGTATCGTTTGATGCTGGCGGTCATGAAAAAGAAAATAATATATAGATATACAAAACATCTGTCTGATGTTTTTTGTTGTTAAGAAATAAATGTGTATGACAATAAACATAAGTGACAAGTCATAGTGAAGCATCTACCTGCCATCTCAGCAGTAAAACCAGATGGACTCGATGTGATGGAATGTTGATGATCAAGCTGCATATCCTAGACAAGCGAAATTAACAGAACACAAAGAAGTCTGATAAAAGGATACACCATAAAGGCCATACTCTTTACTAAAACTTTACACTAATATCTGTTTTTACACTCATTGTGATTGTGAATCCTTCCTACTTGTGTCCAAGGGACATGTGGCATAATGTGAAAATCAACTAATAAGATCATTCATTCTGTCTAATGATGCAAAGTGTAATTAAAATGATCAAGAAACACTTGAGAAAGACTTGATTACATTTCTTTTCACTTTGTGAGAGGTAGATTTGTGAGTGCATATTAAATACCTGCATTTCAGTTCTTCCATCAACTTTATCATTTGACTCTGACTGTCCTGAAAAAAAAGAGAAATATCTGTATGATGTTCATTGTTAATAAGAAAGGAATAAGTCTGAGAATAAAGTGACAAACCGTACTGAAGAATCTACCTGGCATCTCATGATTAACACCGAGTGGACCACATGTGTCAGGATATTGATTACCATGTTGTGAATCCTAGGAAAGTAAACAGTACCCAAAGAAGTCTGATAAAAGTGCTCCATCTAAAATTGAAATTGTTGACTACTTTATTAGTTCATTTCTGAAATTATAAATTGAGTTGCACCAATTTTTTCATGACTTGTCCGACTGCATGGTGAATCCCCGCCCTGTGCTTTAAGAACACATCCTTAGTGATTTCATCACACCCTGAAACAAAATGTGATTGTGAATATATGTGATTTCATGCACATATAAAACGTCGGCTGTTTAATACAGAGTGTTTAATACAGGTAGTTAACACATACCTCCAAAGTCTGGCCTCTTGGATGGATCTCCATCCCAGCACCTCTCCATGAGGCCAACCAGCTCTCTCAGCCCTTCTGCCTTTCTCTGGTCTATTTCATCACAGGGAGGTCTGTCCCCCTTTGGGATCTTCAGTTTCAAAAGAGCTAGAGTAGCATCTGTGTGAAATACAATAAAGACTTTCATTAAAAAACATGAGCACAAATGAGACAGTGTATTTTTGGAAGTTTCTTGATAATGTTTATATTAGCTGTAAAACATGAAATCTAAATTAAAATTTAATTTTACAAAGAAGGGCAAAAATTGTTTGACCAGAAAACTGGAAACTTATGAGGAAAAACAAACACACAAACATAGAGAAATTTATGGAAAATGATAAGTAACTGAAATCCATTCATTGTACCTGGAAAAGGCTTTTTTCCGCAAATAATAGACCACAGAAGAATACCATAGCTTTACAAGATAAAGAAAGAGAAGGAATTAACACAATGTGTTTAAGGTAAAATCTATAATCATACATAAATCCCCACAACTATTCTTTTAATGTTTACCTGTATATGTCGAATTTACGAACAGGCTTATATGATGGATCAAAAGACTCTGGAGGCATGTACTGACATGTGCCTCCTTTCACTGTGGACATTTCTTCAGAGCTCATCAGAACACTGGTGGAAACCCTGGACAGACCAAAATCTGCCAGCTGCAAAATAATCAAGGAAAAAAATAAAATAACACAATTACATCAGTATAAACTAATGAGTTGAGTGGATAGCACTTTACCTTGGCATGAAGGTCACCATCCAGCAGTACATTGCTTGGCTTTAGGTCATGGTGCAAAATCTTCTTCTCATGGAGGAAGTTCATTCCTTGAGCGATTTCGTAGGCCAAGCGGAAGGCCAGAGGCCATGGTGGTGGACCTGACAAAGTCTCCAGCAGGGTCTGAACAGATCCTCTATCCATGAGCTCCATAACAATTCCCAACTGAATGTTCTGCCCTCCATTTGGTGGAGATCCCCTATATATTCCATAAAGCCTCAGCACAGAACTGTGTAAGGAGACTTTGGCCATATGATTTGCCTCCTCACACAGTTCTATGTCCCTAGTGCTGGAAGGAAAATGCAAAAGCTTTAGGAAAGGACTATTTCATGTACTTGGAAGTATAGAAAGAAAAAAATGTTCTGTTCTAATTTTACCCAGCAGCATGTCGAGGTAGCTTAATGGCCACGTCACACCTCCACTTCTTGTGTCTAGCCTTGAAGACTTGACCAAATCCACCAAAGCCAATTAACTGCCAGTTCTCCAAGCTTTCGTTTCCAACTGATTCAAATTTAGGTCTCTGCAGTTCCATCACCTGCTGAACTCAGGTACAAAACCTTAAAACATAATAAAATGACACAGTGAGGAGAATAAACCCAGCTTTTGTAAGTATTTTTTACAACACCTTAGAAGTCTTTGTTGTTGCACTAACATGAAAGCAACTGGAAGCAACACATTGATACACATTTTCCACTTTTTTAGCAATACTGGTGCACTTCTCACGACATTTTTGAAATTCTGGATTCTGAATTTCCCAAAGCTAGAAAGAAAAAAAGGAGACTAAACTCCTATACAGCCAGTAAGGCTCTACCCTCACTCTTCTGTGTCTTCTTCTTCCTACTTCACTGACAGACCGCTGTCCCCTCCACAAATTGTTTTAATTCCATTCCGCTTCATCTTTTACAGTACCCATTCACATCGTTGATAATACTGTGTCCAAATGTCCTAACACGTTTGAAAAAATGCTTGGAAGGAAATGACAAAAAATATTAATGAGCAACGAGAAATGGTCTTCCTGTTGTGAACAAGTAATAAAGAAAGAAAAGTTCTGAGGGACATTTCGTAGCGTATTGTTTTGCAAACTGGAGCTGTCGTTTGATTTGGAGCTAAAGCATCTGTGAGGAAAGAGGATAAAAAAGTAAAACGCTGGCTGCTACTCACCTGAAGCTGTTCCACATGCAGATCTAAGAGTTAGTTCAAACCAAAGCCGTGGTCAAAAAAAACAAAACAAAAAAAACAGACGTTCCGACTTTCATTTTCGTATCCTGACACGCCCTCGAATTGTAGTGAAGGGGCGGGGCTTACATTAAACGTAATGAGCGAGTATTGACAGTATTACTGGTATGAACAGTTGCTTATAACTTTTTTGAGAGACAATATTTTGCTGAAAAAATGCTTTCTTTCGCCAAAAACAAAACAAAAACGCATGCACGTCTTTACAAGTAAAGAAATCATGACCTTTAAGGCTTCAAACCACCGAAATAAAAATGTTTAATTAGAGTATCAAAGTTTGATGCTGTAAGTTTCTAGACCTTGTTGGTGAAGTCGGTGGAGTTTTTTGATGTGATGGGGGGTGTTCCCCACAAGGGTGGATGGTGGCAAGATTTTTAGAAATGTTGCAGGTAGCTTAGATTATGCTGCTAACAATGGGTCTGAGTGGGATCTTTGTTGATCTTTGGAAGTCCGTAAATACAAGGTATAGCATCCCCTGGGTATAGATGATGATCTGGTCAACGACTTAATTATAAAGAAAAAATAAAAGAAAAATTGAAAAACAGTCATAGGCAGTCACTTATATGGATACATTTATTTTTGGTAGTTTTGGTGTAACAACGTGAAGCACTGTAGTGGGTCAGAGAAATGAAACAATCTTTCAAAAGTGGATACAAGTGCCAGTAATTGCATGTCTATCCTACTGGAGCCATTAATTTAAAAATTCCCACTAGTTAATTGAATTTTCAACATTTTTCAGCTGGCCGATCATTTCCATGTAATAAAAAACTGTTTTACTTCAGGACTTTACTTTGGAGTTTTATGCTTTTGACTAAGAGAGTCAAGTTTATAACTTCTTCACAGCTTGTTTGTTTCTAGTAAAAACAAGATCATTGCACTGTCACATAAATCATATGCTGCTCCAAAGATTTAATGACTAATAATGGATTTTCAGTGCTCTGCTGGTTGACGCAGAGCCCTTTTGCCCTTTTAACACTATGATCCATGCAACTGATTTTAAACATTTCATTGATTTATCCACGGCCAATTTATTCCAGTGCGAGTCAGAAATGTTCATGTAGTTGATGTAAAGACTCCTTCACGCTTGAGCTGCACCCTCACACACTCCTGTGATGGGTATTGTCAATACTCCCCTGGCGGATGGCGTGGTGACCCAAGTTTTCTGAATGCAATAACTCAAAAATGAGGTGGCATAATATTTTGAAATTCAAACTATAGTTGCAGCTACTAAAAATCTTGGAAGAGTTCTAATTTCAGTGACCTCGATGTCAAGGTCAGAGGTCAAGTTTTCTCATTCATACTATAATTTCACCAACCAAAAGTTCAAATCTAAGTAACTTTGAATTTGATGTCAAGGTCAGAGGTCAAATTTTCCAAAATCTTGTGAATCGGACCTGGAACATGTACATCTACTAGGAGGTTGATGGGTAGCATGAGTTTATTATCATTAACAGAGAGACAGATGATCATTTAAAGTAAAATCAGCAGAACATCTGTGTATAGAGTACAAAATAAGCAATTCTACTGAGTAGGCAAATACATATCAATTTTAGTTTTTATGTCTAAACATGTTGATAAAATACAGGTCCTTGTAAGAAGGTTTAACAGTAAAATATTAAAAAGCCCAATTAAAATGTTTTTTTAATGCAGACTATTAACGTCCAACACAATCCTTTGAAAGCACAAAGAACTAGTGCTTGCAAAGCACAATAGGACAATGATCTGTGTCACGCATTAAGCAAACCCCTTTCTTTAAGTAAACTGAGGAGTATTCACTCATATCCCATGATGGCTTGCTGTTTCAGCTGGTGTTAATAGGTGTGGTGTGTTCTTGCTTGCTGGATTTTTATTTGTCTCTCACATCCCTCTTTCTTTTAGAGTGAAGATTCTTAGTAACAGGACAACAAAGACAGTCTGTCTAGGAAACCGGTGTAATTCACTTTGTATACAAATCTGTACAAAGGATCCTGATAAGGCTGTCCAACTCATCCCTAATAAATGGGATGATTATAGGATTGACACCATTGTCTCTTCTTTTTCTTCCTTCTTTCCTCTTTCTCTTCCTTTGAACTAGCCACCTACAGAAAATAAAGGAGAAACTATTAACTTGTTATACATGTTAAACCATATTTGACCTTTTTAATAAGAGCAAATCATACCAAGCCTCTCCACTAGTTTTGGATGATGTTTTTTAAGGGCATCAAAGAAGGCTGCTTTGACCCTCCACCCTCCTGAACGCAGTGTTCTTTGAAAGAGCTCCCTCATTTTATCTTGACTTGTCGGTTTAGCTCGAATATTTGAATAGGCTTCAGGATGGACCAGGTCTCCAAGCTCTTCTGCTATCGCCAGCACTTCAGAAACTTCTTTGATTAACGTTGCCCTGTTTTTATCAACAAAGTCTGCTGCTTATAAATGAAGAAAAAAGAAAGCATGTATTTAAAAATCATGAAATAAAAATTGTGAACGTGACTGTGAAATAATATATAATACACACCTTTTTCATTTTCAGTCAGATTTCTAGCAGAACTGCTCACATTATTCTGCTGCCAAAAGAAAAGAAAATTTATGTAGTCTCTTTTTTTTAACCATATCAGCACACAAACATCTGATTTGACTGTGAATCCTTTTGATTGTTTAGGATGATTTTTTTTATGTTTTATCTTTTTAATTTGACACAGCTTTTGGTTTGCCTACTTTGTTTCTGAGGGAGGTAAAAATTGGAAACATCCATCCTCTTTAGCACAAAATTTATTACATGTATTTATACATAACAATATTTACGTACAAATGTTTAAGTTGGTTTTGTTGTTCTCAAGTATCTTCTGATCAAAATGAGACTTGATTAAATGAAGTCACCCTGAGAACTGAGAGGCAAAGGACAAAGTCCAAATAAAAAATACCTGCAATGGGATGTCCACAGTATCATTTGATGCTGGCGGTCCTGAAAAAGAAAAATATATATGTCTGATGTTTCTTGTTAATAAGAAAGAAATGTGTATGAGAATAAACTAGGGCTGTCAGCGTTAACGCGTTAAAAAGGGATTTATCCGCATTAACGCATTAACCCTAACCCTAATCTGCGTTAAACCCTAGAATAAACATAAGTGACAAACCTGGCATCTCAGCAGTGAAACCAGATGGACGTGACATGTTGGAATCTTGATGACCAAGTTGCATATTCTAGACCAGAGAGATAAACAGAACGCAGAGAAGTCTGATAAAAGTCTTCACCATTAATTGCTATTATCAAGTTTTACTCTTGAACTAAAGCTTTACACTAATATCTATTTTTACAGTACATTGTGATTGTGAATCCTTCCTACTTGTGTCCAAGTGACATGTGGCATAATGTGAAAATCAACTAATAAGATCATTCATTCTGTCTAATGATGCAAAGTGTAATTAAAATGATCAAGAAACACTTGAGAAAGACTTGATTACATTTCTTTTCACTTTGTGAGAGGTAGATTTGTGAGTGCATATTAAATACCTGCATTTCAGTTCTTCCATCAACTTTATCATTTGACTCTGACTGTCCTGAAAAAAAGAGAAATATCTGTATGATGTTCATTGTTAATAAGAAAGGAATAAGTCTGAGAATAAAGTGACAAACCGTACTGAAGAATCTACCTGGCATCTCATGATTAACACCGAGTGGACCACATGTGTCAGGATATTGATTACCATGTTGTGAATCCTAGGAAAGTAAACAGTACCCAAAGAAGTCTGATAAAAGTGCTCCCTCCAAAATTGAAATTGTTGACTACTTTATTAGTTCATTTCTGAAATTATAAATTGAGTTGCACCAATTTTTTCATGACTTGTCCGACTGCCTGGTGAATCCCCGCCCTGTGCTTTGAGAACACATCCTTAGTGATTTCATCACACTCTGAAACAAAACCATGGTCCATGTTTAAAAGGCATAATGTACGAAAAGTAGAGAGTTCATTAATTGTTAGTGGTTTCGTGCACATATAAAAATGGTCTGTTTAATACAGAGTGTTTAATACAGGTAGTGAACACATACCTCCAAAGTCTGGCCTCTGGGATGGATCTCCATCCCAGCACCTCTTCATGAGGCCAACCAGCTCTCTCAGCCCTTCTGCCTTTGTCTGGTCTATTTCTTTACAGGGAGGTCTGTCCCCCTTTGGGATCTTCAGTGCCAAAAGAGCTAGAGTAGCATCTGTGTGAAATACAATAAAGACTTTCATTAAAAAACATGAGCACAAACGAGAGAATGTTTTTATGGAAGTGCCTCACATTGTATTGATAATAGTTATATTAAATGTAAAACATAAAATATAAATGAAAAATTTTTTTTTTTTTTTAAAAGAAGGGCAAATATTTGCCCAATAAACTGGAAACTTATAAGGAAAAACAAACATACAAACAAAGACAAATATATGGAAAATGATAAGTAACTGAAATCCATTCATTGTACCTGGAAAAGGCTTTTTCCCGCAAATAATAGACCACAGAAGAATACCATAGCTTTACAAGATAAAGAAAGAGAAGGAATTAACACAATGTGTTTAAGGTAAAATCTATAATCATACATAAATCCCCACAACTATTCTTTTCATGTTTACCTGTATATGTCGAATTTACGAACAGGCTTATATGATGGATCAAAAGACTCTGGAGGCATGTACTGACATGTGCCTCCTTTCACTGTGGACATTTCTTCAGAGCTCATCAGAACACTGGTGGAAACCCTGGACAGACCAAAATCTGCCAGCTGCAAAATAATCAAGGAAAAAAAATAAAATAACACAATTACATCAGTATAAACTAATGAGTTGAGTGGATAGCACTTTACCTTGGCATGAAGGTCATCATCCAGCAGTACATTGCTTGGCTTTAGGTCATGGTGCAAAATGTTCTTCTCATGGAGGAAGTTCATTCCTTGAGCGATTTCGTAGGCCAAGCGGAAGGCCAGAGGCCATGGTGGTGGACCTGACAAAGTCTCCAGCAGGGTTTGAACAGATCCTCTATCCATGAGCTCCATAACAATTCCCAACTGAATGTTCTGCCCTCCATTTGGTGGACATCCCCTATATATTCCATAAAGCCTCAGCACAGAACTGTGTAAGGAGACTTTGGCCATATGATTTGCCTCCTCACACAGTTCTATGTCCCTAGTGTTGGAAGGAAAACGTAAAAGCGTTAGGAAAGGACTATTTGATGTACTTGGAAGTATAGAAAGAAAAAAATGTTCTGTTCTAATTTTACCCAGCAGCATGTTGAAGTAGCTTAATGGCCACGTCACACCTCCACTTCTTGTGTCTAGCCTTGAAGACTTGACCAAATCCACCAGAGTCAATTAACTGCCAGTTCTCCAAGCTTTCGTTTCCAACTGATTCAATGTCAGGTCTCTGCAGTTCCATCACCTGCTGAACTCAGGTACAAAACCTTAAAACATAATAAAATGACACAGAGAAACTTTTATGAGTATTTTTACAACACCTTAGAAGTCTTTGTTGTTGCACTAACATGAAAGCAGCTGGAAGCAAGACACTGACACACATTTTCCACTTTCTAATAATACTGGTGCACTTCTCACAACATTTTTGAAATTGTGTATTCTGAATTTGCAGAAGCTAGAAAGAAAAAAAACTAGACTACACTGTTAGACTTTTCATCTCCACTTTAAGGCAACATACTGGCGTCACTGTTGCCAGCGTCATACCATGACGCCGTGTTACAGTAGGTTACCGTTCTGCAGGATGATACCGTTTTTTGCTGTTGTGGTATAATACTCTTGGACAAATTATGGTAACGCACTGTAGCCTTTTTTACGGTATCTCACTGGCGACAGTGATGCCAGTGAGATACCGTTATGTCGTAAATTATGTCAACAAAGTAACATCATACTGTGATAAGAAATTGGTATTTCTTATCACAGAAATTGGTATTGGTGTATTGGTATAAACGGTACAGTGACATACTGTTTATTCCCGGTATGTCACTGTAAGCACGCTGCAAGGTAATAAACTGCAATATATTTACCAGTAACTTACCGTTATCACGCATCATCACATCAGTACCAAAAATATACATCTAGAGGATACCGTGTTCCTACAGGCAGTCATTTACTGTTTAACAGGTCGTAATTTACCGTAATTTCAGGAAACAGTAACATATTATAAGAGACTGTTTAAAAAAAATAAAAAATGCATATATATATATATACATATATATATATATATACATATACATAGATATATATATATACATATATATATATATATACATATACATAGATATATACATAGATATAGATATATAGATATAGGAAGCTGGCATTTCCCCCTCAACTGGCTGCCAATTAATATATTTGTGTCATACACACACACACACACAGACACACACACACACACACACACACACACACACACACACACACACACACACACACACACACACACACACACACACACACACAGACAAAATATAATTCATGTGCTTTACATCACTTTTTATTTCAGGTCTGATTTTCCTCTGCAGAAATACACATTTCCAAAATCAAAAACTGAAAAGAACTGAAAACATATTTTGATTGAGGAAGCACTTGTTTTTACTAAACCATCTAACCCATGTATTTTCTCAGATGGTTGTACAAACAATAACGATATTATGTCATATCCATATCATAACAGACGACATATGCTCAAGTGATGAGTTTTCTTAGTTATATTTTGTAGGGTCTTAAACCTACACTGTGAAGTGCCTTGGCAATCATTTTGTTGCCACCATACAAATAAACTAAATTGAAATGAATAGAACATCAAGCCCCACACTTCTGCCTCTATATACACTTTGTCCAAAATACTGGCTCACACCACCAAATCAATGTACAAAGCAGGGTCCACAAGGACATGGATGAGCATGTGTGATGTGAGGGAACTTGACTGACCTGCACTGAACCCTGACCTTGCTTTGTGGACTGAGGTCATTGATTTGTAGGGTGAGCCAATACGTGTGACAATAAAAGTGTAAGTAGCTGAAATAAATTTTAACAAATGGGTAAAAGAAGGAAAAAAAAAATCAAAACTGTTGCAAGATGACGAAAGAGCTTGTCTTCATTGTTGTTCGCCTCGTGTAGATTTCCAGAAAGCATGGGCCATGGATCGTCTGTGGAGACACAGGTAGCAACACATTGTTCACTTAAATTATACAAGAAATTAACTATAAATGGCAACAACAGTTACCTAATTTGAAGTTTTCCACTCAAATTCAGTAAGCCGCTGGAGGAAAGTTGTGACTGTTGAATGTTGAAGTTCTGGTAAGTGAAGGTGAGGTGTCTATGACGTGTTCAGCAGTCTGATGGCCTAGTCCGTTTTACCATATTATAATTGTACATAATTGGGAATTATTCTGCACATTAAACACACCTAACAAAGAGTCAGCCCAATTAAATTACTGGAGTTCCATCAACTGTATGGTTATTTTGGAGTTTATAGTTTGTGCTGCTGTTAAACTTTACAATATTGACTTCAGTATTTCTGCTGTTAGTGTAGCTAGACTACCATGTTGATCAGTAATATGTAATGTGAAATTTGATATTGTTACTTTGCTGGATTCACCGAGACGCATGTCCAACAACCTTGGTTTATAAAGGAAATTACATAAATGTGAGCTAAATAAACAGAGACTGGATACCTGTGTCCACGAAAAGCTCCTGTGCCAAACAGAAATTGTAATATGGTCTAATCAGCTCTATTTCATAAATGACTTCTTACCAAGCATAATCAGCCTTGGAGTGCCTGGCAGGTTGCTCTCTGCTACAAGGGACATACTGGTAGATGTTTCCTGCCAGATAAAGGACCAAGACATTTTATGTAACGGAAAAAAAACAGGACAGCAAGCAACAGCATTAAACCTAGAGCTGTATGAAAAAAGCTTACATCTGCTAAGACAAAGAGGGAGTCTTCATTTTCCTTTTAATACTTCATCATGACAAGTATGGCTGCTGTGCCAACCTTGTTGTTGGTCAAAACTTCCTCACTTTCTATCTGCTGGATGAGTGTCCTTATTCCAAGGTTCAATCTGAGCTTCTGGGTGGAGAAATAGTTAACAATCCTTCTGCCTTTGGTTATGAGGGCCTGACTTAAGCGCTCACTGATAACAATACCTGTGAGTTTGTGAAAGTGGTTCGAAAGACCTTTCTGAGTAAACAAGAATGGCCACTGCTCCTGGATTTCAGCTACTGAAAGTGAGGGACAACTGTTGATAAGCTGCCGCTGAGAAATATATGTGAGGCACATGAAGTCATCCACATCAGGTCTCTCCACAGCTCCAGGTACTTGTGAATTAAAAATTGTTAACACGATGTCTTTCTTTTCCTCTAAAAAGCTGACGTTTCCCCCTCAGGAAGTTCAACTGGCTGCCAATGAATACAGCCATAGCTATCCACAAGGCATCTAACTTTTTTAGGTGAGGTTGCATTACTGTTGGGACTGCAGTCTTCCTCATTCCTGGTTCTCTTTGTTTGACGAAGTCTATGTGTTGTATTATCTCGATTAACATGTTCAACTCTAGATTTGATGCTTCTTAGTAGTGAATAATGTCCACAATGATCTTAGCAACCTTTCACAAGATGCACGTTTAAGGTCTGTTGCCATCTGAAAAAAGAGAGATCATTGGAAAAGCTACTTTATATGGCTATTTCAACAAATATGTCCTCACTAAAAGATGAACCCTGCAGAATACCGACATCCAGGAACTTGACAGCTGAGGTAACCAGTGAACTTACAGAAGTTCTCCTCAGTGGTCTCCCTTCTTGTTCTGTGATTCCTAGGCATATGTGAATGAAAGGCAGAAAATGTTCTGAAAGTGGCAGGACAGTTCTCAGCTACACAAGAAAACCTATAGTTACCTACATGTTTGTGGCTTTTAACATGCAAACTGAACAATATAAATTTGTGTGCACGGAAGCCACAAAATTTACAAATACACATAGTTGTAAAAAGTTCAAAGACCAATTATCTTGACGCTTAAACTGGTTTAGCCTGACTAAGTCAGCACCCCGCACCGTACAGGTAGTACAAGCACACCTGAAAACACCGACCAGCTATCAGCTTTAAGCATTTGGGCGCAACCTCTGTAGTTTTTATCAAGTCTCATAAATCCATCGACAACTATTAACTAACTAGTCTTTTGAGTCTTCACAGTCATAACTATTGACATTTTGTTTTAGCACTTGAATGAAAATATCCTGGCAAGGTAGCTTAAAAGTCAAAACAAACAGTAATGAGAATGCATTTCTGACTTCTCTCGAATAAGTGAAAAAAACACTTACCTTCAGACTGATTAGCTGGTGTCAATCCAACTTTAATGTGTCCCATGTCAGTCAGTTTTAGGGAAAAAGTGTTAAGTTTAGATGTTTCATTTACTTTTGCGATACTCCCGCATGGACGAGAAATTTGGAGTCTAGCAGAGTTGTCACAAATAGCATACTATCTTCAGTTATAATTCCAATCAACGGTGCATTTAACCTGACTGAACTCCATCCAATTACCTCTGACTACTTCTAATGCGTCACATTGTACGTCAGGTGAAGGTGTGGTGTTGGCTATCACTCTCCCATTGAGATGTGTAACAAGTGCTACACACACCTGTCGCATAAAAACGCTTTAAAAACGTAACAATCGGTTTAAAAACACAACCCAACGCGCTAAACATGAACAAACATAAACACCCGTGTTACATTATCATGTATATCCAGGACATCTCTTTTGAACCAAGTGGTGCTACAAAGGAATTATTTCTTTAGGAGAGTGCATTTAATAGCAATCTGGCCTGCCATAAAATGCACCGCTAAAAATACAGTTTCTGCTTGTCCCAGAATTTATCAATTTTGAGAGTGAAGTTGTAGGACTGATGCTGGTTAGTGGTCTAGGTTTCATGGATGTGACACCTGAACTTGTGTAAAATGACCACCAGAGCATATTCAGAGACTTTTGGTTAGTTCACTAGAGGTGTCTTAAAAAGTACCACCTTATACAAAACAAACGAAGTTCCAGTATGAGAAAGAATAAGAAGAGAAAAAAGCAACACCCTGATACATGAAGTCATTTTTAAACATTACTCTAAATGTAACAATTAGTCTTTGTTTCTAGCCATACAAAAAATAAGTATACTTTAAGTTCATATCATGAAGTATACTTCAAGTATATTTCCCAAGTATACGTTACCTAGTACGTATACTACTAATGCTTCTTGGGACTATATTGGCCCCCGTTTTAGTACATAAAAGTATACTTGAAATTAACTTTTAGATGTACTTTTTGTTCACCATAAATGTACTATAATGTCCTTTCCAGTCTATAAGAGTATACTTAAAATATACTCTATTCTAGCACAATACTTACGTTACAAGTATACTATTAATTTACTTTTTAGTTTATATTTGAGATACTTCTGATTGAAACAGTAACTAAAAGGCAGTTGAAACTTATTTTTTTCACATGTAATAAAGCCCTTCATTCCTCAAACAGTCAGATAACAGCTCCAACTATCAGAAGGCTTCCTCTGCAGAGAACTACACTCATAGCTCAAGTACCAGAACTATATTGTAAACAGGTAAGAAAATGATTGGAGAGTTGAGGTTTATTCGCTATTGACACTTTTCACTCACGGTTTGAACAATTTCATTTTTTACCCCACTTACTCTGTTCAAAAGGTAAAAGACATTACACAACAATCTTTGACAGATTCTTGTTTTAAAACATCAATCATTTGTTTCATAGTTTTAATTTCACAGTTAAAGCACTGCAATGCATGCTGGGTATTTATTTGTACTTCAGGTATACTTCAGGTAAACTACATACTACATAGTATACTACTAGCACTACTATACTACAAGTATAGAATAAGTGTACTTATACTTTTCTGTATACTTCTAACTGTACTTAAAGTATGCTTAAATGTAATTTGGTCTAAAAAAATCAAGAAAATACATACAAAGTAAACGAAAGGTATACTTGCTTGTTTTCTAGTTTTTAAAATATACTTATAATATACTTGAATATTCTTTTTTGTAAGAGTGAGACTGGTTGTTTGGTACAAGTGGAATGTAATAACATTTCACATTGTTTGAATAAACAAATACATTTATTATAATATGAGGTTCAATTCAAGAAATTCCATTTTAGTGTAGCTGCAACTTACTCCTTAAGTTAAAAATAATGCTGTATATTGTAGTTTATATACTCTCACAATGAATTGCATTTTATACACTCTGAATGAGGTTTTAAGTAATGACTCTTAGATCTACAGTAGAAAAGAACAGAAATCCAGATGGTGTAATAGTATAATTTCAGTAACATCACCAATTGTTACATTTGCTGTATTTTACAGCTGTTTCCATGAGTACAGTGAGTACCATAAAAATAATGTAATCTCATTGAATTTTCTCACAATGACATGCAAATTACAGTACTAAACTGCTAACATCCTTTAGAGTTTTTACTGTTGATTTTGCAGTACTACGCTATGGAAATTACTGCAAAGGCTAACAGTGTACACTCAGTTCTTCCAAACCTTTCATTCATTTGTCAAAATGACTTTTTTTCGTAAATACTCCAAAAAAGACAAAATTAATTGTGTTAATTGTGTAAACCAAATTGATAACAATGTTTAAATGTTTTATCAAGATACGAGAGGTATCTAGAAGTATAATCCTCATCTCTTCAAGTTTTCTGCATCTTGTCACTTACTTTAAATGTCTACTGTAGCATTTAAAGCACACCGTAAATGTAAAAGAAAATAACAATTACACAGAAAAGCACAAAACTAAAGTATGTAAATAGACTGTGAGTACAAAAAAAGATGTACTCTACAGACTATAACGGTGATAATCACTAGGCACTAGGAAGAAGAAGCGGGAGGGGGGGGGCTGCTTCTACCCTCGGCAATCTTCTGTGTGTTCCTCTTCCTACTTCTCTGACAGACCGCTGTCCCCTCCACAAATTGTTTTAATTCCCTTCCGCTTTATCTTTTACAGTACCCATTTACATCGTTGATAATTAGTGTGTCTATTCCGCAAATGACGACAGTGAAATCATGTTAGCAAAAAGACCACAAAAACAAACGCAACTAAAACTTGTTCCAACTTCTAAACTGTAGGCACTCGTTTTCCAAAATTTTTTTTTTCAAACGTACTTTTTTTTTTTCAAACGTACGTTTGAAAAAAAAAAATGCTTGGAATGAAATGACACCAATATTAATGAGCAATGAGAAATGCTCTTCCTGTTGTGAACAAGTTAAAAAAAATGTTCTGAAAAACTTTTCATTGCAAACTGGAGCTATCGTTTGATTTGGAGTTAAAGCATCTGTGAGGAAAGAGGATGAAAAGTAAAACGCTGGCTGCTACTCACCTCAAGCTGTTCCACACGCAGATCTAAGAAAAGCCAAAGCCCTGGTAAAAACGAAAAAAACAAACTTTTATTTTCATATCCTGGCACGCCCCGAACTGTAGTGAAGGGGCGGGGCTTACACGAAACATAATGAGCGAGCATTGACAGTATTACTGGTATGAACAGTTGCTTATAACTTTTTTGAGAGACAATATTTTGCTGAAAAAATGCTTTCTTTCGCCAAAAACAAAACAAAAACGCATGCACGTCTTTACACGTAAAGAAATCATGACCTTTAAGGCTTCAAACCACCGAAATAAAAAGTGTTTAAGTATTAAGTATTAGATTAAAGTTTCCATCATTACAAACTTTCCTTTTCTGGCATTGAATACAAACGGGAACTGCTTAAGCTTTCAGTTCCTATTTTAAGTGTTGCATACCTCAGTTTCCTGCAAAGAAGTAGTCCAAAGATACCCTCTTTTTTCCCAGTGTGAAAATGCAGAGTATCAGAGATTCCAAATATGGCAAGAATCGATCAGTCCTCTGACCGAGTATTTGAGGTGCGTTTATGGTGCTTTCTATACGATATGAAGAAGTAAGTAAAGTTTAGTGAGATACAATACTGTGCAAAAGCCTTTATATTTCTTTATATTTTGCTTCCAAGGAGCCAGACTTGAAGAGCTTTCAGACTTCTTAGGACATTAGGTCTTCTCCCTGACCATTTACAAGGACTTTTTCTACAATTCATTCAAGAATAACAAATACATGTTGCTATTGTGCAACATTTTTACACAAGTTAAAATGTTGTGTAAAAATCCAGGTCATTTTAGTAAGTTTAAATAATTAAATGGTATTAAGTATCTACTATTATAATAAAGTTAACTATTCGTAAAGATTTGGGATTACTATTGTTAAAAAAAAAAAGTTCTTAGTTCAAAAATTTAATCATGATGTTATTTATATAAATTAACAGTTAATTAATTAGCAATTAAAAATAGATGCATCCATCTGCAAAACACCCAGTAAAACAAGCAACTCACAATGGAGACATAATCAGAATCATAATATCTGAAGCTGTGCTGAAGCTAAATCTTGAGCTCATCAGTTGAATGATTACATGATTTATGACCTTCTTCTAATAAGCTCTCTCTGCCTCTCTTTTTCATCTTCTCTGCAGACAAAGCCAAAGCCAGATGAAGATGTTTTATTCATGGCTATTATTAATGTCAAACACAGTCCTGTAAAGGTGCAAAACAAACCATTGTTCTGCATCTGGAGCAATGGTGCTTGTGAACATGACACTACGGCTCTATGTCTGGTTTGCATATTCAGTCGTGTACACTCCCCCGTTTTTTTAAGAGAGCTGAGGAGTATTCACTCGCATCCCATGCTGCCTTGCTGTTTCAGCCGGCGTCGATAGGCGCGGTCTGTTCCTGCTCTCTGCATTTCCATCCCTCACTCCCCTCCCTCTTCCCCACCCACCTTCATTTACACTCATCTCAGTGAGGACCTCTCTCACCAGGGGCTGCTCTCTACGCTACATCTCTCCTCCTATCTGCATTTTCCTTCATTCTCTACCCTTGTAGAGACTGTCTATAACATCCTCCTTCTTTTGCATCCCTCTTTGCCCTTGTCTCATGCTGATGACATATGAGGCTGGGGATTAATGTAAAGGGCAGCCCTCTGCGCTGGATCCGAGAGCTGAGGTGAACGTCTGTTTTTCCATCACAGTGGAAGAGTGCTATAGACTGGGGAGCATCACTTATGCCAGCAGGTTACATCCCCTGGAGCAGCAACGGGACAGCCTCGGGAGAAAACAGCTGCACTGAAGCCCCACGTGCATGGCTGGATGTGCTTTGTGTTGATAGATAGTACACTGAAAAAGGTAGGAAGAGGGCAGCAACAGAGGGGAGAGTAGTATTTAGCAAGACGCAAACCTCCAAATAACGGTTTTGGGGGAGGTGGGTGTGGGATTCACGGGGAGTGTTTTAAATGTGAAAGGAGGAGTTGGGGTCTGCTCTACTCTGCTCTCAGATCAAAGAACTGGAAGAAGGAGGACCGCACAGACTGAAGAGTCAGAGCGAGAGAGAGAGAGAGAGAGAGAGAGACTGGAGAGACTCCAGTCTCCAGAGACCACAGAATTGCAATTGAAGAGACTGTCTGCAGCACAGGGGGGGTGGTTATAAGGACACAAAGTGAGGGAACCAATCAAAGGTCTTCAGATCTTCATTTGGACAGTGTGAGCTTACTTTGTGAGTGAAGACTCAGATTAAGAGGACATCGAAGCAGGTCCCTTTAGGAAATTGGAGGCATTCCCTTTGCGCACAAATCTATAGGAGGATCCAAATATGGCTGTCCAACTCATCCCTGAATCAGCCGTGTGTTTGCTTATGGTGAGTCTCAGAGGAGTACGGGACTGACACCACTGTCTATTCTTTATTCCTTTTGCTGTTTTCTCTTTCTTTCACTGGCATGCTTTCTCTCACCATTCTCCTCATGGCGCGTGCCCATGCTGCCACTGCCATCTCATTAAAAAGGACGCTGCTTGTTTGCCCCTCCCCTTTACTACCATCTACGGTCCTTTTATCATTTGATAACTTCCTTGTGAGAGGCATAGCTCACTAAAGAAATGTGTGTATTTTCCACCCAAGTGAGAAAACTCTCGCTTTTGTCCTCCACGTGTTCCACTACTGCACTGGTCAAGTGTGGGAGAAATGGCTCACACACTGCAGATGTGAGGGTGCGGTGTTGATCGTGGTGCCTCTGGATGTTGGAGACAGTTTAATTTAGTATATATATGTGTCCTATGATTAAGCCCGCGAGCAACGACCTAAGGTTTATGCCTTCAGTGCAAGCAGATAAGTTGCTAAACTGAAGTGTTTTCTGTTTTGTGCAAGGTCAGCATGTGAACACTGCCAGTATACAACACTGAATCAAATCAATTTCATATTATAGAGCGAACAGTTTTGCTGCAACCCATGGGATTTCTAGGATCTTGTTAGTGTTGAACCCAGTCTTTTATTGGCATGAAACAGACTGGCTTGGTTCACGTGGTTCAGATCTGGCCATAGAGAGTGATGCAATAGAAATACATAACATAAGCTAAAAATCCAGTAAACTCCATTTGGTCCTCTGTCCAGCCTAACTGTGAAACAATGGCGCTGCAGCTTTGCTGCATGTGTTCATCCTATGATAACCACCAATGAATGACCATAAAATCTGTATGGAGGGTGACTTCTTATAAAAGAGTCTGTTCTGCTCATTTTCATTCTATAGTGTTGGCATTCTGCAGTCCCAGGGGGAGTCATGCATCGCTGCACTACCTGCTATCTCCACCTGTCATGGCTGTCTGTTACTATGGCAATAGGCCATGCAGTCCACTTGAAAGAGAGGTGGTCGTAAAAAAGGACGAGGGCAGGAGGAAAGTGCAAAATATGATGGACAGGCAAAGGATGGAAGGGGCAAAGCATGAGGATTTGAAAAGAAGATGAAACAAATTAGCCATGGAAAAGTCAAAGTAAGCTTTTAGCATCATCATGGCGATATACTGCAAGAAATATAATTACCCTGATGATGGTTTCCATCAAAATGGGATTTGGGGCTTTGGGGACATAACTTCAGGCATCATCAGATCTGAAGCAGAGAATTTGTGTCCTTTGACTCCACATTTTACGCTATTTTGCTGCAAGTATGCATTAGCATAGAAGGTGTTCCATTATAAGTGTTCCTGCTGTCATAAATGACAGGCACAAAAAGCTTTGCTGCCATCCCAGTTTCACAGCCTCTCTCACATTTGTCCTTGATGTCCTACATCCACAGTCTTCTCACCTTTTAGATCTACTCCCCACAAGCTTACCAAAATAAGCTCACCTTGACATGTATACCACTTGCTCTTTTGGCATTTTCTTTGAAAAATATTTATTGATGACTGTAAAGCTGATCAAACATATGGACTAACGTGTCTTAACTCTGATATTTGAAATTTTCCTATATCTCATTTCAGAGCTCAGTTCACAAAATCTGTGACATTTGCATTCATGCTGTGAACCCATCTTATTTATTAATGGGAGTTTAGCAGCTATGTGTGTGTCTGCATGCTCTTGTGTGGCGTGAGCCGAAATATTAATATTGATCATGCTTCCTGGCTCTCTGTGTATTAATATTTTAGGTGGTTAGGTGATTATCTGCTGCAGTAATTACTGGCAATGCTGTAAATTATTTCCACAGACAGCACAACAAACAAGTCACATCAGAAACAGCAAAGTCAGACAGATCCAATAGATTGACTGAATTAAATCTATAAAATGTTATGGCTAGGAGGAGAAATGTGCAGGGCTTCATCTTCTTGGTTTGTTTTATAAATATAGAACTAAACTCTGGGATATCTTTTACTAGATGCATGTATGTGCATAGACAGTGCTTGCTTCTAATGAGCATTAGTTTTAGAGTAGAATGAAAAGAATCAATGGCATGACTGATTCCAGCTAAGATATCCAGAGAAATGCTGCCAACTAGTACTGGAATAGGTCATAAACTACATTGTATGTAAAGGCATTAACAGAAATTTGTCTGTGAGCTTCATTCCTAGCCTAAATGGGAAATACTGGTTCACAAAGCTAGTTACTATTTTGAGCCCACATGTGCACATGTTCTTACGCTTCCCAGTAATGTGTGTATCCACAACTGCACGCTTGTTTTTGTACTTTAAATCAGAATTGGCACAAGCACTAGTCTTTGCCACAACACATACACTGAGCTGATTAGCTCTGCTCTGGCTCTCTCGCTCAGAGAACCCCCCACCCCCCAGCCCCTCCAAGCTCTCGGAGATGATGGAGAGGTGCAGAATTAAATCCGAAATAGAATCAAACAACTATAGTGTTGCCTTTTAATTAGCGTAGGAGAAAAATAAGAGCAATAATTAAAGACTAAATCCACCCTCATCGTAAGCGCCAGTCTCAAGGTTTAGGTTTTGATGCAGCTAATAGTAGTAGTATTATTTATTGTCATTGTCAAGAACAATGAAATTGCGTTTGGGGCTTCCATACAACCCAAATCCCGGATTTATCATAAATTCCATGTGAT